TTCAGATGGCAGCATAAGAACAAGATAATTGATTGCTTTTTTCAATTCTCTGAGTCAAACCCAGGCCAAGTACAAGGAATTTCACCTTGTTGATACATCATCAATTACTTGGTAAATTGTTGCATATCGACACTTTTCTTGTGCATCATTAAGTCGTTCGGTTTGCTTAGGGCTTTGGGAAAAAAAAAGAATCAGGTTTTTTGCTCGCTTAATCAATCATGCTATAGGTTTAAGACCTTTTAGTACGCTTAACTGAAGCGTATGAGCAGAACAAGCTGAATGCGTAATATCATTTGTCAAACCAATTGCCTTTTTAATATTGCGACCATTGTCAATCGTAATGCAAAAAACTTTTCCAGTTAATCCCTATTCGAGGATAACTTAATTAAGCATACTTTTGATATTTTCAGCTGTATGAGGTGACGAAATTGGTTGGATCGTTAATAAAGCCTCTTTTAATGTAAAATTTGAATCAATCCAAGTTGCCGTTACTCCAATGTACCCTTTATTCGTTCTTGAGCTCCATAGATCTGTAGTCAAATTAATAGATCATCCATCTATATTCATTATGCCAAATAATTGGTCACAACTCCAATCATAAGCTTGATGAATCATTTTTTTTGTGGTCACTTCGCAGGGAATCTGAAATCCAGGTTCCAGATTATTTAGAAGTCGACGAAAAGCTTGACAACGTAGAATATTCAATGGTTGGCAATCTTCGATAATAAATTCAACCAAATCTTGTGCCAATTTTTCTTGTCGACGTTTGGTAATAATATACAAGGCCTTGACAATTGAATTATTAGTATATTCTCCATTACGATGATCTTTATCAATTCGATGCTTGGACCAGAGATGGCAAAGCATATTTCCAGTTGAAGAGTTATGTACATACTTTACTGTAATATTTTTTTCCTTACAAAGTTGACAAACATCAAAAAAGCCATCTTTCGTTTCTTCAGTTTTAAAATAGTCCCATGCGATACTAGAATTATCTCGTTTCTTTTGTTTTTTTCTCTTTCATCAGGTTTATTATTTATAGAAGGTTTATTATTTATAGAAGGTTCATCATTT